TGCTTCTATAAACTTCTTTATATTAAAGGTTACAACTAGTCACATGTGCACTTTTGGTGCCTAATTTAAATAGTCTACTTATATATTGCTATATAAGTTTTATACTAAATGCCATATCTGCAAGCCAACTAGAGGTCTTGCCTATTTAAACTCTCTGTATATGCAATCCATCTTGTATTATAAGAATATCATCAAGGTTACATCCATCCAAGTTCTTGATATTAATTAGTACTTTTAGAACTACTTTATTCTTGACAAAAAACTTACTAAAGCTTTTATGTTTCATATATACTGATCTAGTCTTATGCAATATGCTATAGTTATTTAATACTTGTAATTATAAAAGTTATCTGTTTAACTATTATATTATACTATTTCTACTCTTGTAAAGTTTACTAGAATCTTAGTATTTTTTTTCTTTTAGCAAGTTAGGCAGCCTAGTTGGTTATGTGCTTCTTTACATATATTTGGAGTTCAGTTTAACATTCAGTTCCTATAAAGATGTTTCATAAGCTTCAATCAGTCTGATGTTACTGTCAAAAGTTTATACTACCTTTTTACTCAGTAATTTCTAAGTGAGTTTTCATTATCTCAGTTTTTTAGTCTTCTAGACTTGGTGGTCTTATTATAAGTTTGCACTGAAGTCTTATACAACATTAGTTATATATTTCTTTATATACATATAATGTTACACTTTGTATAGATGCCTTAAGCTCCCAATGTCATTAGAATCTAACTTGGTATATCTAAGTTACAGCTATATAAAATCAACCAATTAACAGAAGTCAGTTACTGTAATGCAGATATAATTTTCAAATATTGTTATAGATAGAATTTGAACCTTAGACCTGCCACTTGAAGGATAACAATTCAACCATTTCATTAGAATTATTATCCTTATTTGTCTTGTTTTCATAACTTATATATAACTTTAATAATATATAAAAATATTTAAAATTATTAATTATATAAATATTAAGAAGAATTTAACTATAAATAATAATATTTTTTTTTAAAAAAATATTAAGATGTGGCCATGCCTTTATTTTTATTAAAACTTAGTTAAACTTTCTATAAATAAATATACAGAAGAGGTTTTTATATTTAAATATTATATCTATAAATAATATTGTTAATTTAATAAATAAATAAAATATATATAAAGCAGAAGAAAAAACAGAATAAAATACAATATAATTATGTAATTTAATACTTTAGTAAAATATATTTAATAAAATAATTTAAAAACTTACTTAGCTCTTAATATAAGATTTATACAAAGTTTAGTTATATAATAAAAATAAAAAATTTAATAAAAGATTTAATAAAATAATTTAAAAATTATTTAGTTTTTAGTATAAAATTTATGTAAAATATAGTTATATAATAAAAATAAAAAACAAGCTATATTAGAAGAATTTAATAATTTTATTATTTAAAAATTTTAGTTTACTCTTTTAACAGTTAGTAATATAAAGTTTTATTATAAATATAAAATTTTATTTAAAAATTAATATATATTTATTTTTAATATTAAAATAAGTATTTGTAATTCAAGTTTTATTTATAGTATATTTTAACTAGTAGTTGTTGTTTGCAACAATTACAAAACAATTATAAAAAGAGTATACAATTAATTACTTATATAACTTTAGTTATTGTTTAATTTAAGTAGTCTGCCTGAAGGTTTTATATTAGTTGTTATACCTAAAATTTGTCTGTAAATTCTTTATTTAAATACTTTAGATTTTATATTTATACTACTTTACTAATGATTTTGGTAAACCAGTAAAGATATTTTATAATTACTAAATTATATTTAATTTTGTACTAAATTTACTAAAACCTTCTATATTTTATATTTACAACTGATCTAATACTGTTTTGGCTTAAATTAGTACTTATAATCAAGGCTAATTATTAAACTAATATACTTTTATAAAGTTTACTAAGACTCTAATAACTACTTTTCTAATATCTTTACTTATTTAAATTTACAAAACTTCTTAGACTACTAATTTAGATAATCTAGTATAATATTCTAAGATCCTTTTTCTTTAGTGATTTCTGGCAGTCTAGTTAGTATATGCTTCTTTATACATATTTGTTATTCAATTTATGTTAGCTGTTTCTTCTGAGTCTTTCATTAGTCTAGTAGTACTATTAAAAATTCATATTATCTCTTTACTTAGAATTTCCAAATAGGTTTTTTGTTCTAGTTTCTTAGTATTTATACTCAGTAGTCTTATTATAAGTTTGTATTGAAGTTTTATATAATACAGTTATTTAATATTCTTTTATATATAAATAATATTATCTTTGCATAGATGCTTAAGCTCTTATTCAAGATGATGTTTTTAAAATTACAGATTATTTTTTTAATTTAACCAATCAACAAGACATAGTTATTGTAATACAGATATAATTTTCAAATATTGCCATTTATAAGATTTGAACATTAGACCTGCCACTTGGAGGTTAACAACCTGTTCACCTCACTGGGTTGTTACACCTCTTAAAAATTAATATATATAAAATTAAAATTTTATATAATATTATATTTTATATAATATTATATTTTATATAACTTATATATTATATTGGTTTATTTATTTTTTAGTTTTTATTAATAAGAAATTTATTTTAGTAATAGAGAAAATATATTTAATATTACAAATAAATAACTTAATATTATAAATTAAATTTATTTATACTAACAACTTTGAAAAATTTTGCATTAGTGAATAAAATAAAATTTATTTTCTTTTAGCTATTTAAATTTTATGTTAATTTATTAAATAAACAATATTCACTTAAAATTTAACTCAAATTTGTTTTTAATTAATGATTTTAATAGTTATAATACGTATTTATTTATATTTTGAATTATTTGTATTCTAGTTTAGTTTTGATAATACTTTTTGTATGCTTCTAACATTCTAAATATAATTATACACTTGAATTTTTATAATGAGATTAGTATTAGGCATTGTCTTTATTTGATTATGGAAAAGATTACCGTCTTTCTTATTTTTTACATATTATTATTATTACTAATCAGTAATACAAATTATATTAATATTAAACTCGTATGCATAAAGTTTACTAACTATCTAATATATCTAAGTAATGTTTATAGAATTTATTAACATTAAATTCAATTACATTGTTTTATAATATAAAAAACTATTTATTATATGTATTAGTTTAGTATAGAGATAAGTATTTTGTATAGAGTTCTGATTTATTATCCATTTAACCATTTATCTATTGGATATCCAGGATCTGAATTTATTCGGATAACCATTTTACTATTGACATCTGAATAATTATCCGAATATTTTCCAGATTATCTTGATATCAATAGTAAGTGAATATCTTAATAAATTCAGATACGGATAAATGGATGACGGATTTATCCGGGTTGGAACTCTAATTTTGTAATTATTAGTTAACTTAAGTGTTATATGTGATGATTAAGCAGATGTTACTGATAAATATGAGATAGCGCATCTCTAATAAATATAATTTTATTTTAATATAATAAAGATTTATATAGATTATTATAATATCCAATATATAATGAAAATTTGATATTGTGAAGTTTTGGATATAATAAATCAAAGACCGGAACTACGACCTCTGTTATATCAATAACCATATGTATAAATTTAATTAATAAATAAAAAAAATAATTATATTAAATTTGTAACTATATCAAGAGTAATTATAATAAGATCAAATAGTATAGATTTGACTGTTTGTTTAATTATTAGTTTATATGAACTTAATATACAAAAATTGTAAATTTTAAATTAAAATTTTAATAAGCAAAATATTAACATATTATAACTAAATTCTTAAAACAATAGTAACAGATTATAATTTCAAAAAATTATATAATCAGAAAATTGATAACCAAAATTTAATGCGATTAAGATGATAATGTCTATGTGAAAATTAATTTCTTACGTTTTACAATCATTAATAATATATTTATATATATAATTTTTATATAATTTGTAACTATATTAGGAGTTACTATATTAAGGTTAGACTGTAATTCCAAAACAATAAAATTTTTGTAATTAAAAATTCCAATTATAAAATTACTATAATAACACAACAGGGTGAAACCCCCGCTACGCAGATCACATGAGGGTGAAATCCGCTTTTCGCATAATAAAAAACATACCTAAACGCGAATTTCACCCTAATGTGATCTACATAATGGGTTTCACCCTCTCCTATAATAACAATTTTTAACTATAAAAATTTTTATTATTTATGATTATGATCTTTAAAATTATAATCTGTCAGTATTTTGTTTTAAAGATTTTAAATTTCAAGATTATGACCTGTTAGGATTTTGTTTGTCTTATTTATAACTGATAGAATTACTGTATTATATTGTTTATGCCTTCCCACTAATATATTACGTTAGACAAAGAATTAATTTGAAGTAGCTAATAAAAACAAAACTGTTAGTAATGAAAATATAGTATTATACGTTATAATGATCCGAAATTTTGAAAATTGTTTACGATACTATTTCTCGAAAGTTATTTCCCGACTCGACATCATACAGGAAACAATTTAGTAAAAAATATATTATACTTGTAACCCTATGTGATGTTGACTAACTTTCGGGGAATTGAGCGACAACCATAAAAATTACATATAACAAAGTACGATGGCATGATTGTAACGACAAATCAGATCATGATTAGTCGTATTATTGCGGATTGTAAATTTTGTGAATTTTGTATACGTATCAAAAAAAAAGAAAAACCTGATTGTTATATGAATTTTAAAAATATTTTGATATGTGGTACGAAACCTGGATATGCAATTAGGATACGCATAGACTGCAATCAAGTATTACAACATAACAACATGCTGAAAAAAATTCTTTTTCAGAGGGCGTTATGCATGACATATAGTATAGTAAAAAAAGCAAAAAAAGCAATAAAGTTTTTATATGTACAGTATCAAAAACGATGACTTTGATATTGGAGTAGCTTAAAAATCAGAAAACGTCAAAAAATCGAGTGACTTTTTTTTTGAATTACATAATTTACAAAATTTTGTAAGCCGCAATAAAATTTAAAAAGATTAAACGAATAAATTAACAGCTCTTAATCATTTAACCGTATATAATACAAATACACAGTTAAATGCGGGTAAACGGATACGTAGCAGTTTCACTCCTTAATTGATATAAATTTTCACCTGATATAAGAACCGCAACAAATAACAATATTCGAATTTACTATTGTATTTCTAGTTAAATTTAGCAGTGTCGTAACAATTTGAACGTGATGCACATATTGATATATTAATAAAAATATTGATAAAATATTGATAAAATATTGATTAAACTTATCTTTTTTCTGAATTTATATAACATACTATGTAAATGGAATTTGTTAAGCGATAAATAATCTCACCATTATTATAGTAATATAATAATAGTTATAGAGTATAATAATAAGGTACACTGTATTTTTAAAAAATAGGTTACTATTGTGTAGTATAAAAATATACTAATTCTGGTTAAATGATCTACAATGATCGGATGTAACTTCGGCCTTTATGGGCATTTAAGGGCCTTTATGTCGGGAATTAGTCGGCTAAGCCGACTAAGCCATTTTCTGCGCACCTTAGTGATTTGACAAAATATTTTAACAATTAATGATCGCAGCATTTATCGGTTATCAGTTATGTAATTTACATACGTATGCACATATAGACATACACACGTAAGATGATTACGTAGACAAATTTACTGCGTATTAACAATTTACCATTGTATTTTAAACTAGAATAAATAAAATATGCTATTGAATATAAGTATTTCTTTAGTGATTAATTAACTGGCCAAGTAAAACAACGCAATTTTGTTATTTTAAAATACGTATAAAAAAATTAATGCGCATAGAATGATTATCAAATTTGGAATCAGGTGAGTCATAGACAATGAAACAACTAATATGTCCTAAAATGATAGTATTATTTATTATGAGTCACACATAATGATAAATCATTATATATATATATAAAGGATTTGACCGCACATTTTCAAAACTTCAAGAAATTTTTAATAAGGAAGCAAAAAAGCACTTGACAAAACGAACACGAAAAATTTTTATCGTGGAATATATATGATCTTTTATTGACATATTTCATTCATTCAAAATTATTTTTTTTTTAAAAAAAAGAAATGACAACTTTTATATTGAACGATGATCATCAGCTAAAAGACGGTATGTAGTTACATTTTTTTCTTTATTTTTTAAAGAAATAAATGTTTTCAATTTATTATTATTATTATAAGTAATTAATAAGTAATTACATTATCATAAGTAATAACAAATAATTACAATAGTACACTAAAAATAACAATGTCTTTTTTTTTGTTTAGTCAACTTTAGTGTTAGCGTGATGACTAATAAAATCCAAGAATTAACCCAGAATGGAAATGATAACCACCATAGCCAGAAGACATACGATCATCAAAAAATTGTCATGATAGAAAACATAATTGGTAAGTTTATTAACTATTAATAGCATTAAAAAGTATTTATAATTACAAATATAGGGTACTAATCTATAATAATAATTTAATATAGACACAACGGCACTAATTATCGATGTGATTTGGAATAAATTTTTCATAAGTCTTAACTCACAAGTCATTCCACTTCGTCTGTTCATTCAAGAAACTATACGTAGATCGCGAACTTCTTGGTCCACCCTCCAAACAGCATTATTTTATCTTTTACGAATAAAACCTAAAATAGCAACACTTGAAGTAGAAATCACTGATAACAAAAGTGATCCAGCTACCTGTGGTCGTCGAATGTTTCTCGCATCTCTTATAATAGCATCGAAATATCTTCAAGACCGCAATTATGCTAATAGTGCTTGGTCAAAGATATGCGGTTTACATGTTAAAGAAATTAATGCAATCGAGAGACGTTTTCTTATTCTTATAGATTATAACCTTTTTATAAAGGATAATATTTTTAATAATTGGACAAATTTTTTAAGATCACGTATTTGTACTTTTTCTGGATTAAAGCAAAAAGGTCTTTTTAGTAAAGACGAAGATCAACGAGCTATTGCACAATTTGTAGAATGTCAAGTGTAATGTAATGTCACCTCACTTTATTATATTACGAACATTTTTTTTTTAATGCCGTAGATATGTTTTTTTTGTAGTCATTAATTATGAAAATATTATTCATTCAAATAAATAGCTCTAGACCACAAAACATTGATTTGTAAAGTACAAATTTGAATATCAATATTACATAGTTATTGCAATAACTGCTGTATTTCGTGAACGATCAGAAGGGAACATAAAATACAGCAGTTAGTACTTACGGACTTGTAATAACTTATAAAATAAATGATTTATTTTATAAGCTGATAATAATAAAGTGTACGTATTTACAATCTTATATTGATAGAGCGATTCAGAATCGTAATGATTCAGTATTGTAAATTTTACAAGTTAACGGTTTTCTTTATTGTCTATTTATTATTTAATTCTACCAGCCGTTAGTAGAAATTTAAGTCTTTAATACAATTAGTACGTTGTAACTTATATTGATTAAATTAAACGCTTAAACATAGCTCTCATTTACCTTCCGAATTACCTCGTCAATAAATTACCAAATTATTTTGGTATGTTATAGAACAGAAGGTGTAGCTTATAAAGTTTTATATCATAACCTTCCCGAATTCGTACTCGTGGCTCCGAATTACTTTAGCCAATCATGATAAAGCCCGCTATGCCTATATACGAGGATCGGCTAAAGCGATGCGAGTTTTAGAGTTACCTTTTTGATGCAGTTAGGGAATTTATGCAGTATGAAGATCATATATTGAATCAACTCCGACTCCTATATACATTGTGAGCCGCAGGACTGTAGTCCCGGAAGAAGGCAATCGATGTGGCACAGTAACAAATTAACGGCTATGTCGATCACCTACTGAAAATGGGTTTACTGGCAGTATACGCTGTATCGGCTGTATACTACGTATCTTGTGCATCTGGTTAATAATGGGTATCAGCGCCATAAGGGAATCAGAGGGATATAGTATATAATTAAAATAATCAGTATAAACAATATAATCAGTGTATGAGAGATAATAAGTATAAGTGCTACATCATGAATAGGTTGTATAACATGCCTTATGTAAACGAAAATATATAATAAAGGCTTCGAGCCCTACGAAGAAGGGAGGAGAGTTCGTATTCAAATAAAATTCTGTCCTCTAATAATAAAATTTCGCTTCCTCTATAATACCTACGATCATAAAATACACCACTCGCTAAATCTAACACACCCCTTTCGACTAGGCCGATTCGTAGGTTACACGACGTATCCGATTGAGAAGAGACTGAACTGACACGCCGTTCGATGGTGTCAACATATGGGGGAAATTGTCAAAAATTTTAAAATTCATTTTTTATTATAAAATTTATAACATAAAAATAAATTTTCCGATCTTTTTTTTGTTGATTTCACCCTTTTCTGTAGCACCTAGCCCAGATATATAAATGCATATAATAATAATCTGCATCAAAAAAGTAACTTTACCCTTAACTCTGCCTTAGCCGATCCCTTATTTGAGCATTTCTTAAGAGAAAATAAGTTACTCGACCTTTTTGAAAAGGTAATGACCGGATATTTCATATAGCGCTTAATAAAGTCTTTAAGAAAAAAAATTAGGTAACAAAAGAAAAAAAATACAGTAAATTGATGAAAAAGGTAATGATTTACAAACTTGTTTGAATATGTAACGGTAATGACATCTCGATCTTGTCATATTTAATTTTAATTGCTAATATAGGAATTAGTACGTACCAATTAATTGGTTATCTCCCACAAAACGCCACCCTTTTACTAATACAAATATAGTAGTCGTACTTATGTGAGCACAGTGAAATTTGGTTACATATTTAATTTTAATTAATCTATTGGTACCCACAAACGCCACCTTTTTACTAATACAAATATAGTAGTTGTACTTATGTATATCATATATCATGAGATTTTGGCTATCTATGAGAAATAATTAAGGGAATTTTTTAATATTCGCATTGCTTTACATAAATTTGGTGACAACTAGGATTATGGTTGAGTGATTATTGGATACAATAATAAAGTCATTGTACGACAAAACCCATTATTCTACTATTGGTATAAATATAGAATTAAACTGTATACATATCGATATATTCATGATATCCGTATGTATTTTAAATGAATCCATCAAAATGAGTATTGATTATTGTAGATAATGTATAATTTTCATTGTCAAATTACAATGATAAAAGGAAATCATGCAATCTATCCTAGCGTCAGGTTAAAGAATCATACAATTATAGAATTATTCCTAGTAGTTACAGCCACTTTCAAACAATTTCCATGTGCTTGTGGGGATTCAATGAATTGGGAGATTCTGAGTGAGAATAGTAAACAATGAAGATTAAACAATAAAGATCCAATTGTCCAATTGTGCAAGTACGGAAGTAAAGAAAACCAAGGTTTCAATTAGAGATAATCCTGAAAATTCGTTGTTCAGAAAACATCTCGAATTCCCAAAAATAGTGATAAAAAAAACATTTTGAGATCCTTGGTTTATCAATTCAAAAATCATTCGATATTCAAATCATCTGATCCCAAGTCATAAGATTTATTAAATCATACGACAATAAACCATTCGATAATTGTAATCATCCGATGAAAAAATTGTTCATGATCACTTGTAATAATGCAGGTTAGATAGCCTGATTTGACTTAATCAGTAATAAGTTTTACAAAATATACAATAACACCACAACAAATTAATTACTTCAATTAAACATATTGTTTTAATATGTTTACAATGCTCATTATTAATTTTTCTCTGTCTTTGTTCTTATTGTGAAGTTTTCGAAAAACAAGTTCGAAGAAAGAAATAGGGATTAACTATTTCGTTCAAAAATATTCCGTAGCTCCGGCAGAACTATGTTAGTCGTGGGCCAGAATTATTCTAATACCAGATGAATTAAACTGCTAACGTGTTAAACAGTTAAATAACTAGAAAAATTTTAGATTATATTCCCCAAAAAAAAAAAAAAAAAAAAAAAAAAAATTGCTATACTAAAAATGGCTCAAGTTGATGAATAGAGATGATCAGGTCCTTCGTATGAATTGGTTTCCAACATACAATCAACATAACATTATACTTACAATAAGAAATTATAGACTATTCCAATAATCAACATAAAGAGTCTCGAATAAAAAAGTCTTAAGGTAAATAAGAATATTTTAACAAAGCTATATAAAAAAAAATCGCGTGCTGCTATTTCCGTTATTTTTTGGTATTTTCACTATTTCCGCTATTTTTTGACATTTCCACGCTCATGTGATCATTCTTTTTTTAAACCTTTGATCATATATTTCGACAACTACGCAATGAATGTCAATAACCCCGTTTTTTTTAAATTTTATGAATTCATAAAAGTTGAATTAAAAAAATTTTCATTAAATTTCATTAAGTGATTGTCGAGATATCTTAGATCAAAGTTTCGAAAATTTTTATACGCTTATCAAAATGCATGACTTTGATTGATGAAAATCAATGTATATAGATATATTATTACTATAGATTCATATGATTTCAAATAAAGAAAGAAGTTTATTGAATTTCATTGGATGATTGTACCTCAATTATGGTCATGCATTTTGATAAACGTATAAAATTTTCAAAACTTAATCAAAAGTATCTAGAGAACCATTCAATGATTTCGTCGAACCTTTTTTTATTTGAATTCTTTAAATTCGTAGAATTTAAATAATAAAAGGTTTATCGAATTTAATTGATAGTTTTCGATATATTTTCGATCAAAGTTTTATTTACATGAATGTTAAAAAATTTTGTGTTTTCTCGTAATTTTATGCTTATTTTTAATTAATTCGGCTACAAGATAATGATAGATTAAACCTTACCATTACACTGACGGTCAAGTCTTATATACTGTTCGAACAATATAAAAAATGGTGCATATTGATGAATTGAGAACATCTCGGGAACTAGCGACTGGACTCGAATAATTTTTACATTATTTGATTCCTCTTACCGAAAAGAATTAAATTGTGCAAAAATCATCTGAATTCGATCACTTACTATTTCATAAGGAATCTTTTTTCCATTTTCGTTGATATTATTTTATAAGATTGTTCTGATTAATCTCGTGATTATATGAGTCATTTTTACGACAATCAATTCCCTTCATTGAGAAGAATAGTTAAATCCAATTACTGCTTCACGAAGATGTATTTTTTTCAAACAAAATTTGATTGATAAAGATTTTTTTAATTTGTTTGGTTTTTATTGGTTCATATATATTAAAGTTGTTAACTTACTAAAACTTTGCAGATAAAAAGTGTAATAAAGATAATTTCGTAATAGAGTATGCTATGAGATTGATTACTATAATTTCCTTTTTTTTTTTTTTTTTTATATCAACTTTACCAAACTTTACCAAACTTTACCAAACTTGTAATGAATTTTTTTTCATTATCATTCTAATTCATTTCAGCTCATTCTCATTGATAAAGGTTAAAAAAAAAAAGATAAACAAGTCGGGGTTACAAGTTAAATCTTACAACCTCCTGCCAGATCGTTCATAAAAAGAAAGTGCAACCAGAAAATAAAGTTATATAATCGATTTAATCAGTTTTAACATACGAAAAATAAAATCGGGTTAAAACTCTTATATACAACAGGAGGTTTTGGTAGGGGTAGGGTTTTTTTTTATTAGTTATAAAAGGTGGCGGTTAAAGCGGTATTAATTCTATAATTATATATTTACGTTAACACTTGCGTGAGATTATAGCTGACACTAGTTATGAGACCTCTCAAATTATTAATAATTAATAATTAATTATTAACATTTGGCCGATTTATTAACTAAAAACTACTAAATAATGTATGGCTTAGTGAATTGATTTAAAACTATATAAAAACATTATAATAACCAAAAGTCAATTTATCTACGTGT